TACTCAGTATTTACTCCAAAGCAAAAAGCCACTACAGTGGAGCCCAGTGTTTGGAAAGTACACTGAAGCTGTCATGCTGTAAACAGCCTCAGGAGGAGAAGTTTTTGTTCTTCTGGAATGATAGCTAAGTTTCATTAATTGAATAGGTTAGAAAGGCATACCTATGTGTAAAGGGTCAAAGTTTGATCACAGTGAAAATTCTTTACCTTGTGTAACTGTGGAAATCCAAGACAGAAAACACATTGGTCCTTACAGAACCAACAATTTGGAGAATATCAACTTAATCTTCCACCTAGGTCCTATATAATCAATATTACAGCCTCCAGAAATAGTCCACAAAGGAGGGCAATCCAAAGAAATTCTAGAGTTCCTGTGCCCTTTAAAAGTATATTCCTCAATCACTCTGACAACTGAACTTTATGACAGTATCAATGCCTTCATGCACTATCTTTCTTCTATACAGAAAACTGCCAAACCACTCTATAATAACAAAGCCTAGCTTGTTCCTACTTTTAGTGACCCTTTTGTACATAATTTTCAAACAAAGAAGAATGTGAAACAATCCTCATCACTGACTGGAATCAGCGATTTATCATGCCACATTATTACAGTCCCAAGCCAGAATGCAACCTTTATGGTCTCCCCAGAATAAATGTTCTCACATCCTGCAGAGACAGTGAAAGAAATAAAGTCATTCTTAATGGCAAGTCGATGACACCTACTTCTCAGATATTATTGATCTTATTCTTAAGTTGATGACACCCACTTATCAGATATTATTGATCTTATTCTTAAAGATCAATCTTGAAGTAGTTTTTCAAATTTGTAAAACAAATTAAACTTGAGAAGCAAAAGGAAAAGTTCTTTTGATAAAATTTTTACACAGATTGAGGTGACTGTAACCAATAGATATGCATAATTATTCATCTCCTGCTCTACAAAGGATCTTGCCATGAATTCTATACATTGCTCTCTGTGCAAGAAGAACTGATCATAGACCTGGAAATAGTCAGTTTTGCAAATGTGCTAAAGAGATACGAGAGAACTCAGTAATCATGTTTCAGTGGATCAAGAAAGTGTGGGCCTGATGGGATGCAAAGGTTGTGTCTACAGAGCTCCAAAGCAGCAGCTCAATCACATCTTTCCTTTCCCAGATCCAATGTCTCTGCTTTTCTGCATGTGGATGCCATAGTTTTCTGTCATGCCGATGACTCACCAATGTGTAACTCCAGCTTTCTTGAGCCATAAGCTCACGTCTGACTACCCACTAGACTACCTAGCTGTGACCCACATGCTGCTCACACTCATCATGTTGAAAATGGATCTATTTCTTCCTTTCAGTGCTGTTCTTCCCCTGCGTTCTCCATCTCAATTACTTGCAGTACCAAGCCAGAAAGCTGGACACCATCTTTAGTATTTCTTCTTCTTCTTCTTCTTCTTCTTCTTCTTCTTCTTCTTCTTCTTCTTCTTCT